GAAGGCTGGTGATAGGGAACCCAAGGTTGAGAAGGGACAGTGTTGACATGTCGTGGGGTTGTTAGCCATGGTCCTAGGGCAATATGTGTACTAACTGTTTAATGAGAAACTATTTGTTCTGCAAACCTTCATCTAAGGTCCAAAAAAAAAAAAAAAGAATTATCTATGTGAGATCAAATTGACAAACAGCAACTCAGAAGGTTTGATGGGAAGCCTAGGGGGCAGTGAGTTGAAGATAATGGTGATGGAATAATTTGGAAAAGGATAGTGCGAATAGCAGCACAACTGAAAGAATGAAAATCGATGTCGCTAAATTGTACACGTAGAAAGTTTTGAAATGGTGTAACTTTGGCCATGTATATTTTCACCGAACAAAAGGTCCTCCAAGGTTGAGAAGGGAGAGTGTTGACATGTCATGGGGTTGTTAACCAATGTCATAAAATGATGTGTACTGACTGTTTAATGAGAAACTGTTTGTTCTGTAAACCTTCATCTAAAGTACAGTAAAAATAAAAAAAAAAAGATAGATTAGCACTTGTAAGCTAGAGACAGAAATATTTGTGTCTTGTATGGAAATAAAATTATATTACCTTTTCTATTATATGTATTCTTCTTACAAACAAAACAAATAGCATGTGCCGTGAGATTCATAAACTAGCACAGATAACATTGACCATTTGCACACATGTTTAAAATAATTATATCGAAAAATAAAATAGCTAAACCAGAATGTAAATATGTGTATCTTAGGAGTAAGGGGAAAGGGTAATGTATGCAGTTGGTGGGAAATCTGATATAGTCCTGGAATTTCCAGGCTCAACATTCTGAGTCCAGAGAGAACATTTCAAGAGAGAAATTTTCAATGCTGTTAATTTCAGAAAAGATCATACATCAAGGAAAAGCTTTTGTATTAATAAGTTCTTTCCTCAAGAAGATTTAAAAATAAGAGTGGGACTACTGCTTAGAATCAGTGTTTCTGAGATAAACAGATGAAAGGGACTGAGGTATAAGAGAAGATCAATGAGTTTAAGATAGGTATGGAATTATTGTGCATGGGTGTTTGTACTGTAAAGCTTTTTTTGTTTTGTTTTTTAAATTTTGTTGTGATTGAAGCTGTAGCTAATGGTGGCAGTTACGTGCAAACTGTCAACTCAGTTACTTTGGAGGTACATGTTTTGTTAAAACTGTCATCAGAGATCAGAAGATTTGAGCACCGATCTTTTGTTTAGTTGGAGTTGCTTATTGTTTTTAGTCAGGTAGAGAGTCAAGTTCTTAGTGTTCTCCCATTTACTCTTTTAGCAAATTAATAGAATATACATTTGCTACTTTGGAGGTACATGTTTTGTTAAAACTGTCATCAGAGATCAGAAGACTGAGCACTGATCTTTTATTTAGTTAGAGTTGCTTATTGTTTTTAGTCAAGTAGAGTCAAGTTCTTAGTGTTCTCCCGTTTACTCTTTTAGCAAATTAATAGAATATAGATTTGCTAATCAATTGTAGCTATAGAGCAAAAGGAACTCTTTTTATGAATAGCTATTACATTATGGTGTGAATTTATTATTCATTTTAAATATCAGTAATGATCACTGATGTTACAATCTTGCTGTGGACATGAATTCAAATGCTGACAGATATGTGGGTTAGAAGTAGGAAGCAGGGCAGAGGTTTTGCAAGAACATTTAGGGTACCAAGGGGGCCAGAAAAGGCTACCCGTGGTAGGAGATATGGAGTTGCAGACCTCTAAGTAGAATTTTGAAGAAAAGTAGAGACAAAGGTAGGCCAAGAATAATAAATTGAAAAAAAACTTTTTTTTTTCTAGTAAGAATGAGGAGGAATTTTGAGTCGTGACTTAGAAGAAAGAAAAATATTAAAAATATAGCACAATGGTTTTAAGCCCTTAGCTGCTAATCAAAGGCTGGCAGTTCACATCCATCCAGCCACTCCATGGGAGAAAGACCTGGTGATCTGCTCCCATAAAGATTACAACTTAGAAAACCCTATGAGACAGTTTTATTCTGTCACATGAGGTTGTTATGAGTCAAAATCGACTGGAAGGCACCTAACAACAAGTAATGGTATGTCTGTTTATAGACTTTCTTAAAAAAAGAGAGACCTTCCACCCCCTAAAATCTCAAAGCTAGCCCTACATATAAATTTTTAAACAATTGAAAAACTACATGGGCTATCAAAATATATGTTTCCTTAAAGCTTATTATAAAATCTGTCTTAGAATGAATATACTAACTTTTTCATTATCAAATGTTTTTTATAGATGTTATTCCACAATCTATGCAAGATTTGCTGTGCATGAACAATGACTTTCCTCCAAGAGCGCATTGCCTGGTAAGATGGTATGTATACATTTTACTCAGGTATCTTCTTAGTATGTATTTTGAGCAGGGGCCAAGATCAACACATACACACGCGCACACACACACCCCAGGTTCAGTGATTTGCCAGGAGGATTCACAGGATTCAGCATGTAGTCTTATGGCTAAGATTTCTTCCAGTGAAAGGATACAAAGCAAAATCAACAAAGGGAAAAGGTGCATAGGATGAAGTACAGAAGAAACCAGTGCAAGCTTCCAGGAGTTCTTCCCCAGAGGAGTCTCATAGGACCCACGTAACTCCCCCAGCAACAAGTTGTGACAATACATGTGGAATGTTATCTACCCAGGGGAGCTTGTTAGAGGATCATTGCCCAGGCATTTTATTGTAGGCTAGTCATGTGGGCATCCTCTTACTTACTTGTAGATGCCCCTTATTAAGAAAGTTCTCATCTATTTTTTAAAAAAAAATTTTATTTTTATCATTTTTCAAAAAATAATATTTTATTGTGTTTTCAGTGAAGGTTTACACAGCAGTTTAAGTTCCCGTTCAATAATTTGTACATGTTGTTCAGTAACATGGGTTACAGTCTTCACAATGCGTGAACATTCTTATTTCTGTTCAGGTTGTTCCGTTTCCATTAATCTTGTTTTCCTGTCCCTTTGCATTCTGATCTTTGTTTTAAAGTAATTGTTGACTGTTTGGTCTCATATAGGTGATTTTTTAAAGGAGCACAGTACTTACGGGTGATATTCATTATTTTTTGAGCCAATTTGTTATTTAGCTACAAGGTGACATCACGGGTTAGTTTCAGTTCAAGGTTGGAAGAATATCTCAAGGCAGTAGTCTCAGGGAGTCCTCCAGTTTCAGCCAATCCAGTAGGTCTGTTTTTTTTTTTAAAGGAATATGAGGTTCTATTCTACATTTTTCTCCCATTTTATCAGGGTCCATCTGTTGTGGCCCTGATTAGAACAGTTGGTAGTGGTAGCCAGTCACCATCTTGGTCACAGGGTAGATGAGGTTGTGGTTTGTGTAAACTGTTTGTCCTGTCGACTAGTTTCTTCTTCAAGTCTTTGGTTTCCTTCTTTCTCTTTTGCTCCAGACGAGTAGAGATCAATAGTTTTATTTTAGATGGCCGCTTGCAAGCTTTAAGATACTACTTACTAAACCAGGATGTGGAACATAACTTTATGAGCTATATTACGAACTGTATTATGCCAGTTGACCAAGATGTCCCATGAGACTATGGTTTTAGTCCTTCAAACCCAGAAATTCAGTCCTGTGAGGTGTTTATGTCTAAGTATCTGTAACTGTGCCCCCAAGTGCTTTATTCTATATAAATATATGTGCGTACCGTCACAGATGTACATATATACATATGCATACACCTACATATACACACATATATACATACTATACACACATATGGCTTCATTCATATATATATACCCATTATCATGGATTGAATTGTGTCCCCCAAATATGTGTGTCTACTTGGCTAAGCGTGATTCTCAGTATTGTGTGGTTATCCTCCTTTTTGTGATCTGATAATCCTATGTGTTAGCAATCCTAACCTCTCTGATGTTAATGAGGCAGGATTAGAGGCAGTTATGTTAAGAAGGCAGGACACAGTCTACAGGATTATGTTGAATCTTCAGTCATCCTCTTTAGAGATGTAAAAGAGAGAAGCCAGCAGAGAGGGGAGGGACCTCATTACCACTAAGCAGGAAGAGCCAGGAGTGGAGCACATCCTTTGGACTTGAGGTCCCTGCGCTGAGCGTAAACTGCTAGACCCAGGGGAAGATTGGTAACAAAGACCTTCCCCTAGAGCTGGCGCCCTGCATTTGGACGTCTAGCCTCCTAAACTGTGAGAGAATAAACTTCTGTTTTCCAAAGCCATCCTCTTGTGGTATTTCTGTTACATAGCAGCACTAGGTAACTAAGACACCCACACATATACTTTTTGGTTATCTTTGCTGTTGTTTCAAAATTCTATATGTTACGTCATAGTGATTACCAACAGTTTTTTTTTCTTGTGTACTTTTTAATGGTGTCGTTTACCTATTTTTATCATTTTGAATTTTGTTGAGAGTTTTTATCATAAATGGTTGTTGAATTTTGTCATGCTCTTTCTGCTTCAACTGATAAGATTGTTCAGTATTTTTTCTTTATAGTTTTAATATGGTGGATTATATTGATTGATTTTTGGATGTTTAACCAGAACAAACCCCGCTCATTTATGATGTAATTTACACACACACACATCCTGGATTTGATATGGTGATACTTTGTTGAGGACTTTAGCATTTGTGTTCCTTAGGGATGTTAATCTGTACTTTTCTTACACTTTCTTTGTCTGATTTTGGTATCACAGTAAAACCGGTCTTATAAAGTGAGTTGGCATGTGTTTTCTCCTGTTTTCTGGGAGAGATTGTGTAACAGTGGTGTTCATTAAATGTTTAGTAGAATTTGCCATTGAAACTACTTGGGCCTTCCGTTCTCATTTTATCGGGGCAGTGGTCCCTTATAGAGTCCAGGCGTTAAGCAGAAATCTTCCACTTCCTTGCCTCATGCATACCTGTATTCCTGAGTGGCCATTCAAAATATTACAACCTCTGAACTGATTTGGATTGATGCAAAACCCTTGTACAGACAATACTTGAATAAATCTAAAGGATATAGAAGGAAGCTGGTTCACTTAGGATACATAGTAGAGAGATTGGCAACACCATCTAAAAGACATGCAGCTCCCTAGTCCAAGTGCTTCATAAGCAAGTACACATTTGCCGATAATAATATTTGACTGATATTATGCTTCTGTAAGCAGTTTCCAGGTGTAGCCATATTTATATTTATTATGAGACTGGGGGATTCTTGGACATATATTAGCCAGGTAATATGCCAGAGACCACCTTTCCTGGGCTGGGTATACCTCATCATTCTCAGAATGATATAATTCATATTATAACTGCTATGCTAAAATACGTGGTGTTCTCAGACATAAACAGACTTTTCTTCCATCACTTAGCCTCCCCAGTTTGTCACAGCATGGTCTGAGTATATTCCTAAACTTAATGATGCTGAACTAGAGGAAGAATCACTTTTGCAGACATTTCTATGAGTCACACTAACAGGTTTTTAGTAAAATCCCAGTCCCCAGTCCCCAGTCCATAGCTGTCGGGGCCTGTCTCCAGAGCGGATAATCCCCTGGATTTCTTAGTGTCACTTTGCGTTCTTACTTCCGCCTTTTACAGACAATTTCAGCACTGTGTGATAAATGTTCTCATAGAGGGCAGCACAGGGTTTGATGTAAACTGATGCAGACAGATTAACCCATTGCTATTGAGTCAATTCGGACTCATAGCGACCCTATAGGACAGAGTAGAACTGCCCCATAGGGTTTCCAATGCTGTAATCTTTATGGGAGCTAACTGCCATGTCTTTCTCTCACGGAGTGGCTGGTAGGTTTGAACAGCTGACCTTTCGGCTATCAACCATGTGCTTAACCACTGCTCAACCAGGGCTCCTGTAGACCGAATAGGTCAGGAAAATGTTTTCAAAGGAGGTGATAACCTCACCTGAATTCTGGAAGACAAGTGAGTATAAGCTAGATGAAGTCAGGTAAAAAGATATTCAAGGCAAAAGGAATGGCATTAGTAGAGATGAGAATGCCCGAATGAACCTGAAAGCTGCCTATAATTTGGCAAGCCTGGAGTATAGCAGTAGAGATGGGAATGGCAAAGGATGAGAAGAGCTTTGGTATCTGGGTATATAGTATAGTTATCTTATTTGGGAATAGAGTGTGAACAAGGAAAGATAGAATATTTCTAGAAGAATACCCAAGAAACTGTTGACGGTTGGTTTCATTCTGCTGTGGGGGATGACGAGAGGGTATGTTCACCCGTTTTGTGTTGTTTCTTCCTTGGACATTTAAAAAAAACAAAAACAAAAACTATTTTAAGAACCTCCAGAGCTTAAAATTCACAGCTCTGGGTTCTTTCCAGTATTTGATGCTGCCTGTACGTAACCAATTTTTATTTCAGGGGTAGGAGGGTGGAGGCCAGGTGAGGAGATGAAATGAGAAGTAATTGCCATCTAAGCAGTAAACATTATGGATTAGACTTTTTTTAATCTTTATTTATTGCTATTTGGGAGAGATTTCTTGAGAAATAAAAATAAGTATTTGTAACTATTTACATACCGAGAGATTAAAATAAATTAGTCAAACAGGTAAGACCTTTTGTAAGTTATTTCTTTTTTAAATTATTTAATACAAATACATTGAGGAGTGGCTCGTAGAGGGATTTTCAGTAGGCATGGTTGCCAACTTTACCTTACATGTTTGTAAAGTTTGACTGCAAATGTGAGACTTTAAAGTACTTGAGAAGTAAAGGAGAAGTTTTCATTATTATAAGATAGTTATATCAGTAGTAACCTTTTTTCTGATAATTTTATGACTTTTATCTAGTATGTGTTATTGAGTAAAAGAATACAAGAATTTCTTAATTAGGATACTTAGTAAACAGCGTTCTGTTACACAGCATAAGAACATCTAGCTCATAATTATTTTCCTGCAATGTAGGGAATCTGTCGAAGAACTTTATCTTTCCACAGGCTGACTTAACATGATTATTTAATTAAAGCTTGATTTCAGTGCTTGCTTTCTTTTATTTTGGAAATTTGAATTCAAAAAAAAAATTTATTGTAAAATATATGTAACAAAATTTGCTATTTTAACCATTTTTGTGTTTGCCCTTACCTATTCTAGATAGTTTATGTAAATGGAATCATACAGAATTTATACTTTTGTATTTGACTTTTATCTGACGCATGTATTAGAACTTCATTTGTTTTTATTGCTGAATAATATTCCATTGTATGGATATACCACATTTTGTTTATCTGTTCATCTGTTGACGAATATTTGGGTTGTTCCTATCTTTGGCTATTGTGGATAATATTGATGTGAACATTGACATACAAGTCTGTGTTTGAGTCTCTGCTTTCAGTTCTTTTGGGTAGATACCTAGGAGTGGAATTGCTGAGATATATGGTAATTATATGTTTAATTGTTTGAAGAACTGCCAAACTGTTTTATATAGCAGTTGTACCATTTTACATTCCCACCAGTAATGAGCAAGAGTTCCAATTCCTCCATATCCTCTACAATACTTGTTATTTTCCTTTTTAGTAATAGCTATCCCAGTGAGAGTAAAGTGATATCTCATTGTGGTTTTGATTTGCATTTCCCTAATGACTAATAATGTTGCACACCTTTTCATGTGCTTATTGGCCATTTTGCATATTTTCTTTGGAGAAATTTCTGTTTAAGTCCTTTGCCTATTTTTAAATTGGGTTGTTTGTCTTTTTGTTGTTGAGTTGTAGGAGTTCTTTATATATTCTGGATATTAAACCCTTATCAGATATATAGTTCACAAATATTTTCTTCCATTCTGTAGGTTGTCATTTCACTTTCTTGATAATATCCTTTGGTGTACAAAAGATTTTAATTTTGATGAAGTCCAACTTTTATCTGTTGGAAACTTAAATTTTAAAGGAAATTATTTAATATTCTCTCGTCATTTCAGCAAATTGCTTCTAGTCTGTAAAAAATAGAGGTGAGATGATAGGGGAATGATAGAAGTGATCCTCGAAATAGGAAATTCACATTGTTATTGGCTCATTTGTCATTAACAGACACGTTTGTAGTTCAGACCTACCTTGTTAAATATCCTATAGGGAAATTTTTTCATTTTTTTCAAATAATGAATTTTTGTATTCTGAAGTGTTTCCCTGTTTAATGGCAGTAATTCAGTAATTCTTTTTTTTTTTTTTTTGAGGTATGGACTGCGTGAATTTGTGGTGATTGCTCCTGCTGCAAATAGCGACGCTGTTCTCAGTGAATCTAAGTGCAGTCTTCTTCTGAGTTCTGTTTCTATTGCTTTGGGAAACACTGGCTGGTAGGTAGACATTTTTAAAAATATAAACAATAAGGTTAAAAATTATTTTTAATAATTTATGAAGGAAAATGATTACTGTTTTTTTTTAAATTACTATTAGGACTTTAATACATGTCCTTGTATATTTTATTGTACTGAAATTTTGTATTTAAGGATAAAAGTAAAACATTATGGAGGCATTTCTAAAGGAAAATTTATTAAAATATTCAGTATATATTTGAGATGAGGAATAAATTGTATTACTTATTGTGCTTTGTTTTCGAAAGTTTAGTTTACTTAAATTTTGTTGTAAAATATAATTTTAAAATGTTTAAATTTTAGCACTTTTAGATATGGTTTGCAATAAATCTGTTTAGAAAGCTATTTTTAGGTATTTGGTATGGCAGTTCCTGTTCTAAAATGGAAATATTTAAGAAAATGAAATCTGTTTAATCACTATTCTGCTATTTTGATAAATATTTCATTTGCATATCAAATAGAGTAAGAAATACTAAATGTAAACTTACTGGGGAAATAATTGTTAATTAATTTTTTGTATAAACTAATTTGTGCTTTATAGAGTATCAAGTGAATAATTCGGGCTTTTTTTTTTTAAGGAATCATTTAGGGTGTTACTAATGTAGCATTATTAGCTTAGGGGAAAGTATTTGTATCTTCATATGATAAAATAAAAATATTATTTGAATTATTTAATACCTGTGAATCAGGTTTTAGTATCACTTTTGCAAGACTAATGGAATATGATCACTTTTATTCAAGAAAATTTTTAATTCTGCTATTTTATCACTTTTAACCATTTTTAAACAGATGATTTTCTGGCTAATTAGTCACTAGATGATCTTTTTTTTAGCTAATTAGTGTAATAAGGAGACAAGTCACCAGGAGTGGCTACGTTATAAATCTGTTTTTTTGGGATAGTTTCTTGTTTACTGCTTTTAAGTATTTGAGATTAAAAAATTTATCAATAAAATAGTGAAATGCTGGAAAATTCTGAGAATTGGGAATTGTTCACTATTTAATGAATGACCCTGAAGCCTGTTCTTATTTTATCATATCTTGCAGTCAGGTGCCACTCTTCGTGCAAATACATCACAAATGGCGGAGAATGTATGTGGGCGAGTGTCAGGGCCCTGGTGTCCGAACTGATTTTGAAATGGTTCATCTTCGAAAAGTGCCAAATCAGTACACTCACTTGTCAGGTCTGCTGGATATCTTCAAATCAAAGATTGTAAGTTGGCATGGATATTGTCAGTCTTATTTAGCATATAGATGTTTCGCTGTAATACCAATATTGTAATAACTTATAAGAAAGATGTAATTGACTATATAAACTACAATGTATGTTTAAAGAAAATATCCAACTAGGTTTTTAGTGCACAGTGTTAAAGAAACAAATAATTAAACTTTTTTTGTTTGTTTGTTCAGTCTGTTAGTATTTATCTGCTATGGTGTGTCTTTCTTTCTACTTATTGTACTGTAAATTTTGCTAGCCTCCCCAGATTAGTAGGCTTCTTTGAGGCTTTGGCTATGAGCTTCTCGAGGAACTTAATTTCATAAAAATATATTTTCAGTTTTGAGGCCCTAAAATAGTGTAGTGATAGGAGTATAAATGTGGTTGACATTTAAAAAAGAGGGAGAAAAAAGTGATGCATGTACCGGGCTAGGCAATTTAAGTAAACGCTTTATTCTTCAGTCCCTTTCCTCAAAATAGCTATTGTTAACAGTTTCTTGTGATTATTGTCATTAAAAAAAAATCACAGAAACATATTTTAGAGCATTTCATGTATATATGTCATATATTTTTTAAAACTTTCTAGACTCTGAAATGACTTAAATACAGTTTAATTCTGCATTTGGTGTTATGGGAAATTTTTGAAAAAGGAAGTTAGGTGTCAATTTCTACTCTGTTCCTCTGTTCATTTTCCTTTCCTGTAACCAGAAGTCTTAAATAATACTTAAATATTTTAGCTAAAATTTTTGGTCAGATGCAAATACTAATACTCTATTCCTTCTTTAAAAAAGTTAATAAAGATTATTTTCATGGATTTTTAAAAAAAATATTGTGGTTTTGGTGAAAGTTTATGCAGCAAATTACCATTTAACAATTTTCTACACAAATTGTTCAGTGACGTTGGTTACATTTTTCAGTCTGTCAGCATTCTCGTTATTTCTGTCTGGTTTGTTTCATTCCAGTAATCTGCCACTTTGCCATCTCATCTTTGCTTTAGAGGAAATGTTTACCATTCATCACTGAATTATTTTATGTTTGTAGATTTTTGATGATATCATGTTTTTTCACCAGTTGAATGCATGCTGAATCATTGAGCATTGGTAATTTTTGTTATGTGTTAAGGATTTTTATAAATATTATGTGGAACACATATGTCCCTGTGGACTCCAGTGGTAGGTTATTTGGAATGAGACAGGAAAAACAATCTTTTTTTCTCAGCAGTTTTACTTTGAATGAAAACTTTGAAAACATGGGGTAACACATAAAGGTACCTTGCACTTGCTGCACGTGATTGTTCGAGTCTGCTGCTTCTTAGTGCTGCATTCTCTGCATCACCTTCTGGTTGACTTGACAGGTAAATGCTTTCCAACCTGTATAAGCTGGACATCATCTGGCACCTCGCTGGCTCCTTGCTTGTTCCTCACGAGATAGGAGGGTCTTCCTCTGTTTTTGGTTTCCTGGGCCACACTAAGCTGTCTAATAAGAGTGGTCATGAAGTTGGTCACACCTACCCCCATACACTGCTTTGACTTACTTTGCTTACACTACTATGAGCCATAAAATGACTTATTTACTTGAATATTGCCTCATCCTGGAAAATGCACCTTCCCAACAACACCGAGAAATAATAAACTTATAAGCCGTATGTCTCTGTTTAGAATGCCTAGAGATAAAAAATAAAAATGGCACTTGTCTGTAACACAGGAACAAAGTACATCAAGAACGCATGCTTACTCTGCTTTGAGCCATAAAATAACTTATTCACTTGAATATTACCTGATCCTGGAAACGGCACCTTTCCAACAACACACAAAATAATAAATAAACTTGCGAGCCTTATCTCGCTGTTTAGAATGCCGAGAGGCGAAAAATAAAAATAGCACTTATCTGTACCATTAGGAACAAAGTACATCAAGAATGTGTGCTTACACTGTTTTGAGTCTGGTAATAACTAATTTGCTCGAATATTACCGAATCATGGAAACCGTACCTTCCTGCTTACACATAGGAAATAGTAAATGTACTTAACAAACCTTACCTTGCAGTACAGAAGCCCAAAATCAACAAAAGTTTCACAAAATCACTCTTCCAGGATGCATACCCTCATACAGATGCCTGTCAACACTTAAATGTGGCACCGACCGATTTCCTGGTTTTTAAGTAGTTACATACAAAAGCCCCAGCCCCTGCAGCAGCACATATTAAAGTGGTGCTAATGCCTGCCGATAAGCCTCCAGAGACAGAAAATGTACATGGTACTTATATGTACTGTTAGTTACAAAAGGGTTTTAAAAGAAAACAGTACTCATGGGTGGTATTCTTTATTTTATGAGCCTATTTGTTATTTAGCTAAATGGTGACCTTAGGGAATAGTCTCCGTTTGAAGTTTAAAGAGTACCTCAGAACAGTTGTCTCAGGGACACCTCCAGCCTCAACTGGTCCAGTAAGTCTGGACTTTTTAATAATTTGAGTTCTGTTCCACATTTTTCTCCCATTCTATCAGGATCCATCTATCGTGTCCCTAATTAGAACAGTTGATAGTGGTAGCTTGGCACCATCTAGTTCTTCTGGTCTCAGGGTAGATGAGGTTGTGGTTCCTGTAGATTGTTAGTCCTATAGACTAGTTTCTTTTCTGAGTCTTTGGTTTCTTTCTCTTTTACTCCAGATGAGTGGAGACCAATAGTTGTATTTTAGATGGCCACTGGCAAGCTTTTAAGACCCCAGACACTGCTCACCAAACTAGGATGTAGAACATAAATTTATGAATTATATTATGCCAAGTTTCCGAGTTGTCCCACATATTTTCATGGATTTTTTTGTGTCACTCCTCTGTGTAGCTCAACTTCTTTTTTCTGAAACGGATCTGTGGATTCAGACTTAGATTTTGACCTTTTGCTGGTTATAGTTTAAAAAACTATATTCTTAATTAGTTTATCACATCATCTGTTATAACTTTCACAAAACTCTGTCTCCTAGATATGAAGCATCTCTCAAATTTGATTTGATAGGAATTGACTTATGGAGACCTGATTTGGGTAACTTTAAAGGTTTTATGTAGTTAAAATTATCCAATATGTGAGTCTCCTTTGAACCTCCTTTATAAAGCTATCTTTAGAAAAATGACTTCTTAACATCTGTTTGACGAGCTCCAGGGCACTCAGTCTTCCGTGGCAGATTATTTCATTTTCACACAGATCTGAGTATTAAAAAAGGACCCTTTGGAGTCACATAGAATTTAAGTCTAAATCTTCGCCAGAATCCTTTAAGTATTTGAAAATTCTCTCATACCCTGGTGTTTCTTTTCTTTTCCAGTTTAAGCATTTTTAGTTATTTATATTTCATGGCTTTATATTCTGATTCTTGATTTGAGTGATTGTCTCTTTTAGAACTGCGTTTCTTCATGCTTTGAGGAATTTTTGTTTGCTGGCTAATTTTCAATGAGAGTTCTCTATTTTAAACTTTAAGCTTCGTCTCCCATTCTCTGTAGTGATTTTGCAGTTTTGTGGTTGTTCCCCATCTGCTAGAATACTTCAGAACCAGATCTTAAAAAGTGTGTGGAGCCTCTTGCTCTGTGGTAATGTTGAGGGTATTACATATCTGGTCTTAGAATCGTTGGATTGCTTACAGGTCATGACAGTGGGTGTTTTTCTTCCCACTCAATAACTCCTCCACCCCATAGCTTCCAGTGAAGCCTTTGTACCAAGTAGGCGTGCCTGCCCCAGTGTCTGGCTTATGCAGAGAGTCTTGCAGTGCCCTTACTCTGGGTAGAATACTTTTGGTTCCATCTAATACAAAGTCTGTAATTTTAGGCTTCACTTCCTTCTTCCACACCTGAAGCCCTGCAGGTATTTGCCCCACTCATCACTTTGAGTTTTCTGTATGTTTTCTACGGTCTACAAAGATGTGTATGTCATATTTGATCTCACCTATTTCTTTTTTGGTTATCTCTTCCTATATTTATCTACATGGCTATGTGACTGGAGCAGAGGTTATGTGTTAAAGTGACCTTGTTATGATTTCTAGACCATTTGCATCTTAATTATTGGCAAACCCTCATTTGATACCTAAACCTGACTACAATGTTGGTATATATATCCTGACCACCTTGCTTGCCCAGTATATAGCAGCCCAAAATTGAATTAGCCTTTTTTTGTCAGTTAGTTTATATTGTGACTTCAGATTGAGTTTATGTTCAATAAAGCTAGTAGTGACTTTTATGGATGCTGCTGCTAATTTAAATGTCTTTTATTCCTTTGCTACTCAAAGTATGGTCTGCTGACCAGCAGCATAAGCAACAAATTGAAACTTGTTAGGTATGCAGAATACTTCTGAATCTGTATTTTCCCAAGATCCCTAGGTGATTCCTATATATATCCAAGTTTTAGTCCATATTAGTGGAGGTGAAGCAATATGAAGGGAAGCTGAGATTATAGGATGCTTGGATGATAGTATTAATTTTTATGATTTTTAATGAATTTAAAGACATCTAAGTTTTCTGTTGTACACTGACTCATTAATATAATCTGTTTTGCATGAGGGATCATTTGTTTGTTGTAATCTAAAATTCTGCTTGAATTCTTGCCTTAATTTGAGTTTATTTTCATTTAAAAAAAAGAAAATACATCATCTCAAACTTAGTCATACACTTTATAGTAGTTTTACCTTATTTGCAAAGTGAATCACATTTTTTTATATTAAGTATATGTGAAGTGAGTATTGAGAAATTGTCTTTGTTTAATTAAAGTTGCTTGACATATTTTGGAAGAACATTTTGTGTAATAAAAATTTAATATCCCCTTTAGTGTTAGCAACTTTCATTTTAAAGTAAAAGTTAATTTGTTCTCTGACATTGTTTTTAGAAATTTTTTTATCCATGCAGCCTTTTCATCAGATGAAAGCATTTGTGGACACAGTACACAAAACTTGTGGGAACCCCCTGTACACATACATACACATACGAATATACGGTGATTCCTTCAAAAAGTTTACATTTCCATGTTTTAAAAGCAGGTCTAACAATTGCCAGCACTACTCCTTCCATAGGATCTTCTTTCTTCTCTGATTCACCTCTTGAGCTTTTGGGCTGTAAGAATTTCTCCCATAAAAATGATTTCCTAAATTCTGCACATTTAACTTTAATAACCTCAGTGACTTGTTTTTCCTTTTTAATGGCTAGAATATCACACTTTACCAATGCGTGCTATTATCTAACACCATGATATGAAAAGCCAGGTTTCATGAAGGTAGTATTTTATCTATTCTGTAAGTTTGAAATTTTGATGTTGAATTTATATAGAACAAGAGTACCAGCATTTATATAGTATTATCTATATGTTTATTTTCTAGGGTTGTCCTTTAACTCCATTGCCGCCAGTTAGTATTGCTATTCGATTTACCTATGTACTTCAGGATTGGCAGCAATATTTTTGGCCTCAGCAACCTCCAGGTGAGATAATTTAGAGCTTTATTTAACTTACTGAATATAAATAGAAAATGTATTCAGAAGCTAAAATTGCTTAACAGCTTGTATCAAATGTTTTAAATTGGAAATATTTATAATTCATTTTAAATATTGATGATTTCACTGCCTTTATCATTTGATTTCTTTTTTCTCTTAAATGAGAAGCTCTATAGATTGTTCTAGAGACAGTAGTACTCTGTATTTGACAATGTGTCTTTGAAAGCTAATATTACTTATAAAATCCCCTGCTGTGGAACATCATACGCTGTAAATTAGTATGTAGTGAATGATTAAATTGTCTGACATTAGAAGATAATAAGAGAAGCCACCCTCATAAGTGAGAACAAACATACAGAGAGCTTAATAGAGAGTAGAATTTGAAGAATAAGTGTAAATAAAGAAGCAGAAAAGGAAAAAAAAAAAAAACATATATAGGACACACCTTTGATGGGTGGAGCTGTAGAATATTTTACTTTAATTTACATTTTATAAAAATGTAGTCAGAATCAGTTCTCTGCCTAGTCACTGATGCATTTATTCATTCAACAATCAGTTGTTAGCCTGTAGTAAGCCAGGTTGCTCTAGAAACACAAACAAGACATTACCTAAGTTCTAAAGAAGCTCAATCTGATGGACATATAGTCTAATTAAGTGAAGTTTTGGTTCTTGGGTGTTTTCTCTCACATATAACTGTAATCGTACTTAAGCACATCTGTTAAAAAATGTAATGCAAACTGGTAAAGAATTAGATTTTACTAGCCTGAAAACATTTTTTAGTCTAACTTGCTCAAAGAGAAGTAAACGAAATAACTATTCTTTATTGTTTATTTTCGTTTCAGGTAGTTGGTTATTTATAAGATCAAAAATAATAAATCAGACTTGGGATAATGCTAAAATGAATGTAGTACATCCTTAGCTTTTGGCGGTTAACAGTACTATTATTTTATACACCACTGAACAATTTGAAACTCTAATGGACAATAAAAGAACTGCATTTAAACTACAGCAAAGGGAGAGAAAAGCTTGTCTGAGATTTATATTAGAAGAAATACTCAAATGTGTGCGTTGGTAATTGTAGTTTCTAGACAACTATACCCCTTGGACAGTTTGCAGTCTTCTTCAAGTTAGGAGATTCAGTTCCCACCCTTGTTTCCCTTTTTTCCAAGTCTACTCTGTTACTGAGCGGTTTTAAAGATTTCCCAAGGTGCTATGGTCTGTTGACCTAAGAAGCCCAAGAGCCAGAATCTTAGCATTGTAATTTTGTTTGCCAGTAAGGCCTTTGTTAATGTTCTGTTGCCGATTTTTTTTTCCCAAATGGGGATAAAAATATTAACCTTCTCCCCCAGTAGATCGAGTGTCATATAAGTTCTTAACATTTTCTCTTATTAAGGGAAAGGGACTGAACATGTAATACGGGCCAGACACTGTGCTTGGCATTTTTATATTCTGTTTCATTTCATTCTCATTTACCTATGTGACAGATACTACAATCTTTTCTTTTGTAGAGAACATAAGTAACTGACCCAAAGTAACTTGGTCACCAAGTGATAACGTTGGAATTCAAACACTAGTCAGACTACAGATCCCATGTTCTTTTTGTTCCATAATGTTTCTCAACTTTTAATTCCGTTAAAACCTCCTTTTAGTTATATTCTAGTAATAATTATTAACTTCCTAATGTACTAAAATTGTGCTTATAAATTTAGGAACTCTTAAAAAATTCACATCTAGTAATAAAGCTAGTCATTATGATCTTTATTATTACTTGCAAAATGGAATGAATTGACTTAAGAAAATTTACTGAATCAAGTAATTGAGCTGTATTAAATTAGTAATTTAATAATTTAGTTAGAGTGTAAATAATTGTCAAAAATGATATTAGAAAATCTGGTAAGTGTTCATAACTCAACAATAGATTTTTAATTTTAGGAATTCCCAGTGTAGTATGAATAACTACAAACAACCATCTGTATTATTTCAAAGAGAAATAAATCCTGCTGATGTCTTTTGGAAGTGTTTGTTAGTTCTTCAGGAGGGATCTAACTAAGGGAGGTGACTTACCCTCTAAATTCTCCTCTAATCTCAGACACCACTCATAGTGGAGGAGATGCTTTACTGAACTTTAAATATTTCCATGTATCTCAACCAAAATATTATTTTACTAATGATGAGAAATTTGTTATTCATAACTTATTGACAACAAAACTGATATACATAGGTTGGTGATTAAATTTATAATACTTGGATAATCTTAATTTAGATAGTATTAATCACACTTTTAAAAAATGCAAATAAAAATTACAGGAGTAATATTCTCTCCTTGAGTAATGCTTAAGGAATATTTCAGAAGGTTAAAATATAAAATGCATAGGTTGAATGAAACACTGGGCAAATAGGGGGAAAAAGTGTGTCCCTTTTATTATGTTCTCTGAGGAAGTTTGTAGGACCTGATGTGTGCTCTTATTTTAGGCATTTTTAAAGCTATAATCTCCCAAAGGGCTTAACCTTAATAGATTAGATTCTTACTTCTCTATGTTCTACCAAATAATAGAAAAATATTTCTTTTGTTTAGATATAGATGCCCTTGTCGGAGGAGAAGTCGGAGGCCTGGAATTTGGCAAGTTACCATTTGGTGCCTGTGAAGATCCTATTAGGTGAAAATTTCAATCTATTATTTGAATTATCAGGTTATTTTACTTCTTAAATTTACATTGATAATTGCCTTTACTATGCTTTATAATACTGTAGTCTGCTGGAATAATGTAGTACTGGAAGTGGAGACCTGTACCTGATAATCTGTTCATCTGTGTTTTTCTCTGTAATTTAAGAAGAGGTTTTAAAATAATACATAAAAAGTTGATATTACCATTTATTGATTGTTCCTTACAGAAGTAATTATTGATCAGGGGATATATGCAGTTTTAAAGCTTTTGGGTTTTATGTTTTGTATATTTTAGTGAACTCCATTTAGCAACGACATGGCCTCACCTGACTGAAGGGATAATTGTGGATAATGATGTTTATTCGTAAGTATGTTAAAAGTAATATATTAACATCCAAAAAGTCAGTTAAATAAACTGCCTAGTTGTTAGCAAATTTTTTTTTTACATCAGATGCTGAAAAGATTTTTTTTTCTATTTTTAAAGATCACTTTTTAGGCAGATTAATATGTATTAGAGATGTATTTTAGGCTACTGACTTTGGAGGTGAATCCTTAATCAGAACAATCTGAATCTTAATTTGGTTTTAGGAAAGAAGATACCTCTAAGCAGTTTGAGATTCAGTGTGTAATTCTGTTGAACTCCTTTTAGCTGTTCAGAAACATTTCATGAAGTGGTTATGAAGAGATGATGGCCATCAGAATGTACTAGAATAATGTTTGGTCATTTAATGTTGTAAATAATAAAACGTCCATGTCATATACTCCTGTGCAGTGGAAACAACTTGAAAATTATAGTAAGAATTGTTTAGGAAGAATATGGAGAAAGAGGAAGGTAATTTACATAATTACTTCTGATGTTTGATACAGAACAATGAGAAATAGGGCACATTTTCTTTTCATAGTAAGAATAAATTTGTGATATTGATGATAATAAAAGTCACATGAGTGCTCTTATTAATTAGATAAATTTGGACAGGTATATATAAGAAAACAAAGACTACCTATAAAAAACAGCCAGTTAGTATTTTGGGATATATTTTTTAAAATTTAGATTTATTTATTTTGCTTTATTCATTTAATGTCTCATTTTACATCTTTTGTGCCAATAAATTTAGATCTCTCTTGTCATTTTTAAAATGGCTGCATAGAATTCTGTTAGGTGTATACACCATAATCTATTTAACTGATAAAATAGGGCATTTTGATCTTGTGTAAAATTTTCATAATCTTTTTCTTTATTGATAGTAATATAAAAAACAAGTTGTTTAAGATAATTAAGCATAATTGCCATTTCTTATTTCTTTTTTATTATTCTTAAAAGGTAATTCTCTTGTTGTTGTGTACTGTGAAATTGATTCCGACTTATAGTGACCCTATTGACAGAGTAGAACTGCCCTATAAGGTTTCCTACGCTGTAATCTTTACAAGAGCAGATTGCCAGGTCCTTCCTCCTGTGGAGTGGCTGGTGGGTTCAAACCTCTGATCTTTCAGCAGCCAAGTGCTTAACCGTCGAGCCACCGGAGCCCCTTAATTCTCTCATTATCAGTATACATTGCCTCTTCTTGTGTGTATTTTTTTATCATTTTGTTTTTGCTTTTATGCTTTTTTTGTCTAAGAAATATGATTTCTTAAGGGTTTTTTTTTTTTTTTAAGTTATCAAAATGGCCTTATACACCTGGAAAACAGTAGCTTAAGAGAGGCAAAATGGTCTTCTTGTCCCTCTACATAATATTTTCATTAGACTGTAGTTTGATAAGTCCATGAATCTTGTAGATTGTCATAATTAGAATGTTTATTGTTTTACATTTTAGTGATTTGGATCCTATTCAAGCTCCCCATTGGTCTGTTAGAGTCCGAAAAGCTGATAATCCTCAATGTTTGCTAGGTAAGATATATTCCTTTCCGGAAATTTCACTAATCTGCTCATCTTCCAAATAAGGAAGACTGAATATGCTCTTTATGCTGCGTTTCAGATATCCATAATTATTTTTTCTGTTTGTGTGCTCCTCAGTGAACATTGTTTTTGTTTTTTAAATCATCGCCAGCAGTAGTGAATTATTCTTCCAGTTACTCTTGAACAGCACTAGCAGGATTTCCATTTCAAATTCAAAACTGTCTTTCAGTTTTAACCAGTCTACACCTTCGAATTCTCTAGTATTTTCTCACTGTCTGAGTTTTAGCCGTCTGACGCTTTTATGTTATTCCCTTTCATTCTTCCTGTGGCATAGTCTGCGTTGTACACTCCAGCTAGTGGAACCCTCTTTGCCCTTCGTTGTTCTCCTGGACCTGTGATACATGATGGGAAGAGCACTGATTTCAACAGTCTGGATTAGAGCCCCTCTGTAGAGTTGTATCATCTCTGCAAGCCTATTTACTGATATGGGAAAAGAAGTATAAATAATCTTGTACATCTCACAGGATTATTTGAAGAATGAAGTGAAATAACATAAATGGAAGGACTTTAACAAACATAAGTTGCTATTCAGATAGTAGTACTGAACCCCATGTCTGGAATTGCCCCTTCCTTTCCATTTTTATTGCTGTGTTTCTTTCATGATATCTTCTGAACCCATCTCAGTGTGCCTTTGTGTCTTTTTCTCCCCTATATTTAGCGCAGATGAAAACATTTTCTCTGTTTCCTGTGTGTATCCATGTCACCTTCTCTCCGTATCACCTCGTATATCACCATTCAACTGATGGCATAACTAAATATTTATTGATGATAGTAATGATGCGTTTCTCTAAAGCATTATTTTTTGGGGCTCTTTACCATTCATCATATGCTATTTATCAGATGCTATTAGCACTTGCCATTTTTGCCAAGTATATTGTAATAGTGAACACAAAAATGTATAAGGTAGACTTCCTACCCTTGGTGAGTTTGTCTGGAGTCTAAGGGAGATAGTATAGGGTCGAATCAAGAGCTTTGAAGTTGGACGGACAGTTCAAATCCTAGATCCACCAGTTTGGGCAATTAATGTCTTCAAGCCTCAATGTCTTCACCAATAAAATAGAGATAATAATAGTAGATACTTCATAGTGTTGTTTCGAGAATCAAATGGGATTATGTACCAGTGTGTATGTGTATGTGTATCACACTTAACACAGTGTCCTATCTCATAGTAAATGCTCAGTAAATTATTTCTCTTTGTTTTAGCCATTCAGTCATTAAGTTAACTTATGAAATTTCTTTTCCTAATTCCTTATTGTTCCTCACCACTGACTTCTGTGATAATTGCAAAGGGTTTTAGGAATAAAAGTATTCTCATTTTAAGTTATTGTTTCATACTCTCACCCTACGTCTTTGACTAGAATACAGAACTTTCCTGCTTTTCTAGGAAAATGCCCTAGGTTTATTCTGAACTAGCTGGTGAATTCTAAAACTTAGGTGTACTTAGTAGTTTGTATTGTCTAATAATTTCAGTACCAGTGATTCCTGTTAAGCTGTAATTTTTCATGTAAACATACCTTATTGCAGCTCGTTGGAAGATATTGAATCCCTTTCCCCTTCTTGTAATAATGACACAAAGCATATCATTAACAGGTTGCCAAAGCCGAAATACCCGCAGCCTGCATGATTTCTGAATCCTGTAGAAACATATCTTAGTGTTTCTTTTTTATTTTTATTTTTTAATGGATTTAGAATCCTACTATAGTGATGTCTGGGGAAAGAACAATGCTGTATACATATAGTAAAGTTCTTGTTACTTATAGAATTTCATGACAATAGATACTGTTCTCATTTAGGCATACAGTAAGTGCTTAAAAGGTACAATTGTTTTGTACCTTTCATTCTAGAAGGAATTATAAGGTTTTTTTTTTTTTTGCTGTTTTTAATATCTTAGGACACAGAGAAAAGGGAAGGAAGAGCAAGGCTTCTTTAAAATAGGATTAATTTCTGGCTTCTTGGGTGGAAAAACTGAATGGTTTCCTTTTCTACCATATCTTAGTTAATAGCTTTTGTGAAAAGATGTGTACTTTAATTTATAGGATTGATTTCTTTTGGTTAAGTTTGAAAAATATGTAACTTTTTTCCTACACAGGTGATTTTGTCAGTGAATTTTTTAAAATTTGCCGCCGAAAGGAGTCAACTGATGAGATTCTTGGACGATCCACATTTGAGGAAGAAGGAAGAGGTGACCTACTTCTTTTTTTAAGTTATTTTCAAATGTCTAATCCTTTTTCTTTGGCACATTTTGCAGCAACTTTTCATCTATTTTCTCATTTTGAATTAAGTTGGAGAAGCAAGTTTTGATAGACTAGACAAGTGCCATTTCTCTCCAGGCTGCACCCTGAGCTTGTTAAGACATTAAGTACATTTAGTAAGATCTTTCCACCAAAAGTGCAGAATGTTTGAAAAGCAGAGTTTACAGGTCTATCTTTGAAGTCCCCTGGGGAGAAATAATTTGTGTGAAACTTTTGTCACTCATGCTTGCATATAAAGCTGAACATGTGTATTAAAAGTTTATAATTCTGAGACCTTGTAACACTAGAGGAAAGAGTGACTAAAATATTCTATACAGTCATCAATTTACTCATGACTTTAACTTGCTAATGTAGATGACATAACTTATATTCATTTCTATTCTTTTTATAGAAATTACTGATATAACTCATGCTTTGTCAAAGTTGACAGAGCCAGCACCGGTTCCAATTCATAAATTATCAGTTTCAAATATGGTACATACTGCAAAAAAGAAAATACAAAAACACAGAGGCGGGGAAGAGTCACCACTGAATAATGATGTCCTCAATACTGTTCTCTTGGTAAATAAATGTAGTATCTGTTTTTGGCTATATGTATAATCATTTTCTTTATTACATATTAAATCCCTTCTGTGTAGCAGGCACTGAATTGGGAATACAAAATGATCAAATAAGAGAGTCTCCACACTCAGTTCCCAGTGTAGTGGGAAGAAGGAAAGTAAACCAGTAGTTACAATACTGTGAGAAGTCTGGCAGAGGAGCTCTGAGAACACAGCAGAGGTTGCATCTGTCTCTGTTTGGGCAGTGGGGATCAGGGGAGGCTTCATAAAGAGGTACACTTGAGGTGAATCATGAAGAGAAGGAGGCTTCAGAAGCAGAAGAATAGCAGAGGCCTGAGAGGGCATGCTGAGCAGTTTGGTGTTTTGTAGGGTGCTTCCCAGGGAGTGGCCAGAGACAAGGCCAGAGAGGTAGGCACTGGACTTTATCTTGCAGTTTAATAATTTTTTAAGCAGAAAGCTGAGATGATCATGATTGTATTTTTTGAAAGCTTCCTTTGACAACAGTGTAGAGAAAGCTTTGTAATGTGGACTAGAGGAGGATAGAAGTACAATCCAGGATGGCACCTAGATATAGCGTGGTGGAACAGGCCCAGCCTTGGAGCCACGCACACCAAGGTTTAATCCTGACGTAGTGCATGACTTTGAACAAATCACTTAACTTCATTTTGCTCATCTCTAAAATGAGCAAATCTAATAAAACCTTACGAGATTTTTGTGAGGATTAAAGGAACTTCTGTTATAGCCTGGCATATAGTAAGCCTTCGGTAAATGATAACTGTTTCTTACATAATTGTAGTTAGGGTCATACATGTGGCAATTTGTGCATTAAGACAATCCTGGAGAAAACTTTCAAAAGTAGAGTAGTGAAAAGAATACTGGACTTGGAAACTTGATATTAATCTTATTCCTGCCATTTATATGAACAAGATTCCTAGCCACATTTTCAGTTTCTACATCGGTAAAGGGTGTGTGTGTTTGTATGTACACATTAGCTCACACAGTGGTATTAGAATAAGATGTTTATAAATGACAAGTAGTTTCTCTTAATTTTTAAAAATCTGTCGAGCATGTTTTATGGTATGTGGAAAGTATGCATAATAAAAGGAATTATTAATTAGCAGTACCAGAAAACAATTATGAGAAACAGTGATAAAAGGACTGAAAATAAATTTCTGTAGAGAAGTTTCCTTCTTAAGAATGCATCCATAGAGATTTTATTCAAATTATATAATTCATTTATCGTATATGCTGAATTTTTTCCCCAAGTCTATATCCCTCATAAACTTCTGTCGATAGTACCAATTTAAAACTTTGAGTTACTTAGAATGACTGAATAATTATACAAATAAGGGAGCAGAGTAACAAGAAGTTATTAGCACCTCTGCCCACCCCCCCCAATACTAACATATATAAACAGAAACCATATAGAAAAGATACACTGGTCAGTACAGGTTTAGCCTGCTTCCTGGGGGTATCTGATAAAATACAGTTATGGGTCTTATAATAGTGCCTTTCACATACGAAGAATTACGGATGTTATAACTCCACAGAGCCTCATGAATATATGGGTATTGAAAAAAATTCTTTTGTCTTTTTAATAATATTAATAATACTTTAAAAAAATTTTCCTGGCCTTGGGTGAACATGAAGAGAGGTTTCATTTTACATTCTGTTCAGCCACAGTATCAGGTGATTACTTTTCTTTCAAGAAAAATCTGGTTTTTTAAATTGATTAGTCAGTGAATCTTTGTGTATTTTTTGAAGGAAAATAGAAAACATTTGAGGTTGTATAAAACTGACTGGCCAATACAATAGGAACATTTCCATAGTTTTAACAGTGAAACCAGTAAAAAGTCAGATAATGTCTATATGAGTTATAAATGTCAACAAAATAGGAAATTTGGTCTAAAACATGAATTTTTTTCCTTAAGTTCTTATTTCCTGATGCTGCGTCTGAGAAACCACTAGATGCAGCTGCTTCAACAGACAACAATAATCCTCCATCAGAGAGTGAAGAATATGTAAGTTGATTTGAGTTTCAATACTAAAATGCATAAAATGTATTGAATTTCTAGGAGTTTACAGTATTGCTAATTTGGTAGCATGAGTATTTTAAATATCACCTTAAGAAAACTGAGTGGAGATCATGGCTCTACTCAGGTAATGTCCTGTTACATAACATTGGCATAGATATTTTGGTTAGCAAGAATTTTTCTGGAAACAGTGAAAAAATATCAATATACTGTGAATTGTAGGATTTCCCTCATTTTAGAGTTTTGTAAAATTATTAAATTGATATTTTGCAACAGTGATTCTTCTCTATATGTCAGAACTAGAAAGTGAGTGGAAAACTCTGTAATGAAGTAAAATGTGAAGTTGTCATGTTCTCTTATCCAGATCTTACATAAATGGAGAAATGAGAGAGTTTAATTAACCTGTAGAGATACACCAAGCTATTTACAGTAGATATTGTTAGGAGGTAGATTTCACTGAGTGAGGGGAAAAGCAGAGGTTTTTATATTTTTAGTTTATAAACATCTGGTTTTGTTACGGTTTGGAGGAGTGCAAGCGTGCACTCCTTTTGTAATTAAAAGAGATTTTTAAAACAACATATGAAATCTGGAATACATCTTAAAGATTCCACAGAAGAAAATTGAAAGCTGTAACTTTAGCCTCACTGAACTATACTTTTTTGACGCTAGTAGGAATCTTGAAAACATGGAACTGCCTAAGGACAATTTAGACAGTAGTGTAGGAGACATTTCATAAAATCCAGTTTGGGTAGTATAGGTTAATTTTAGTAGTCAGGTCTCTCCCTGTACTCTTTTTGGTCAAACATGTAAATAGGCTGTTAACAAGTTTGCTTTGTTTGTTTTCCTTCCATTTAGAATCTCTACAATCAGTTCAAATCTGCACCATCTGACAGTTTAACATACAAATTGGCTTTGTGTCTTTGTATGATCAATTTCTACCATGGAGGGTTAAAAGGAGTGGCACACCTCTGGCAGGAATTTGTTCTTGAAATGCGTTTCAGATGGGAAAACAATTTTCTGATTCCAGGGTAATAATTTCAATTTCTAGTTCTTTAAATAGGATTTTTGTTAGCAGATATTTGTCCTTTGGCCCATTAATTCTCCCTTTCTAAAAAATATGTCCTAAAAAAGTTGTAAGAAACTTGGAGATGATTTGTTTACAGAGGTGTTCACTGTAGCAAATTTACAGTAGGAAAAAAAAGATGGAAACAACTTAAGTATCAAACAGTAAAAAAAAAAATGGTTAAATAAATTATATTTCTACAATGAAATATTATAGGGCTATTAGAAACTTTTTTCCAAGAATCTTTAATAGCACAGAAAATGTGCATAATGTTTCTAGTAAAGTAGAATATAGTATTGTATAAACCGAGTACTTTAAGTTATGCTAATATATGTATAGATGAAAGATCAGAAGGAAATGCAGCCAGTTGTTAACAGTGGTTTTTCTAGGTGAGAGCTATCACTAGTTTGCCATTATGTCTTGAAGTACCTGTTATGCTTGCTGTTGGTGGTTTGTGGACCAGGAGGACAAAACAAAAGTGAATATATGACTCTGTCTTTTTAGTCTTATAGTCACTTCCTTTCTGGAACTTAGTTACCTTATAGAAGTCTAGTTTTGATTTCTCATCAGTATGGCTGAAACTTACGGCGGTATGAAAAATATGCATATCTGAAGCAATTTTACCAAAACTAAGATTTCTTTTCCTACTACTTTATTTGATAGATTAGCAAGTGGACCCCCAGATCTAAGATGTTGTTTATTACATCAGAAACTACAGGTAAAGATTTCCTAATGCCAGTGTAAATGGGATCTTTATTTGTTTAATCAGAGATTTTTAAATACTGAATATAGTAATAGGTCATACTGTGTTCTCATTGTGCTGATAGTCACTATCATTCACAAGATCCTGAGAAGGGGTGGAGAATAAGCATTAAATTTTCAAGGAATAGATAATTTTTTTTTTTAATGGTGACTGACTGAAATATGAATGTTATTTCTATTTTCTTAAGATGTTAAATTGCTGTATTGAAAGAAAGAAGGCACGTGATGACGGGAAGAAGACCAGTACCTCAGATAACATGACTAATACATATCCAGGGAATGCTGGAAAAGCTAGAGACCAGTTGGGGTCAGATAATCCGAAAGATACAGATAAGGAAAAGGGAGAGGTGGGAAAATCTTGGGATTCCTGGAGTGACAGCGAAGAAGAATTTTTTGAATGCCTAAGTGATACCGAAGAACTTAAGGGAAATGGACAAGAGAGTGGCAAGAAAGGAGGACCTAAGGAGATGGTAAATTTAAAGCCAGAAGGACGTCTCCTTCAGCATGGGAAGCTCACACTGCTGCATAATGGAGAGCCTCTCTACATTCCAGTAACCCAGGTAGGGCATGATGTGACTTTTTTAATTTAAGTTTTTATTTTGTTTATATAACTTCATTCTAGTAGGAGATGATGGCTTTGAGTCGGGGGCAATTCCTTAGAAAGTCTGTGTCCAAAGATTAAAGATTTGAAATCTAAATAAACATTGGGGCTTTTAGATACACATACTATTTCTGAAGTTGCAAAATGTTTCGAAGTTTAAGTCAATAGTAGTAGTGCATCATGAAAAAGGTGATCTGTTACTTTGTAAACTGAGTGGTGAGTACTGAGGTGTTAAAAAACAAAATCCAAAAATGTATGTGGAGGGGAGTGAACAAAAGTAATAACCCTTCAATTATGTGATTAAGTTTTTAATCTGTTCAGAACCACAATTTATGTGTTCAAAAACTTAATTTTACACCATTAAGAAGTAGAATAGCAACAACTCAACACCAGAGGCTGGTGGTTTGTTTTTGCGTAAGTAATATCTGAATACATTTTTCTTGTGAAAAATTCAATCTAGTAAAAGTTAAAGCTACCACCCACTAATCCAACTGTCATCTGTAGCAGTAATTACTTTTATCAATTTGGGGTAAATTTTTTGTACCTGTTTCTGTACATCAATGTGGATGTTTGTGTGTGTGTGTGTGTGTGTGTGTGTGTGTGTGTGTGTTCACATGTACATATTGATACTTAGGTTTATGGATATTTTAAAAATGTGTGTATTTTTAAAAAATGCACTTACTCTTTGTCTTCAAGATCTTTTTGTGTCATTACTTGTAGATATACTTCATTTCTCTCTTAATTGCTGCATAATATTCTGTGGTATGGAAGAGCCATAGTTATTTAATCATCCTCCTCATCATGCACAGTGTATGTTATTTGCAAGTTTTAGCTGTTACAAACAGTGCTGCAATAGTATTTTGTGTGTTGTGTAATTCACATTTTAGTGTTTTTCTAACAAAGATAATGAGAAATGGAATTGCTAGGTAAACCAATATACAGGTTGCCAAATTGCCCTTCAAAAAAGGCTTCACCTATTTTACACTCCCATCCTTGGTGAGTATAAGAGTAAAGGAATACCCATTCCCTCCGAACTTTACTTCCTCCCTTCTTTCCTTCCACAAATATTGAGTGTCTAATATATACTGAGCACAGTTCTACGCCTTGGAAGTTTAGTAGCAAAGTAGATAGAAAGGCTCCTGCACAGGTGGTACTCATATTCTACTTAATCTCTCATCAGCAATTGATATTGCCAATCATATAATTTTTTTGCCAATATTTGGGACAAAAATACTATCAGTATTTTACAGTGTATCCTTGATTTTTTATTAACCTAAGCATCTTTTAATATGTTTATTGTCCATGTTTTCCTGTGAATTGCCTACTTTTTTTTTTTTCTTGGTTGCTGTCCTTTTCTTACTGATTTATATGAGTCCTTCATATTTTAGAGATGAATCCTATGTTATATTTATTGTACGTTTTCCTAATCATTTAAAAATTTATTCTTATTTATTTATTGAGATATAAATTAATACAGTAATGTGCACAAATCTTAAGTATACAGGTTGGTGAATTTTCATATGTGTACACCCAGGTAACCACAACTGAGATCAAGATATAGAAATTTCCCATAATCCTGGAACAGTGCTGATCAATAGAACTTTCTCTGAAAATGAAAATGTTCTATATTCTGTATATCCATAAGATTATCCTTGGCTAATTTTTGGAAATAAATTGACAGGCCTTTCTTCCTAGTCTGTCTTAGTCTGGAAGCTCTGCTAAAACTTGTCCACACCATAGGTGACCCTACTGGTATTTGAAATACCAATAGCATAGCTTCCAGCATCGTAGCAACATGCAGGCCACCATAATATGACAAACAGACAGGTGGTAGACCCTCTGTTAAGCACATACCAAAACTTCGGGCTCCCAGAAGGAAAGCAGGTGTTCATTATAAACCATATTGTTTGCATGCAGTTTAGGTACCCAAAAACCAAACGAAACTCATTGCCGTTGAGTCAATTCTGACTCATAGTTTAGGTACAGTGTGCCATTTTTATCAAGTTTCTAGATGCCAGCCATGGGTCAGCCTTGCAAGTAGGCTTTTCTTAAGGATAGAAGTCTCAGGCCTGCTATGTAAACTCTTTTCTGCACACTTGATATTGTCAGTCATTTTAATTTTTGCCCTTCTGGTGGGTATATAGTAGTATCTTGTGTTTTTAAGTTACATTTCCCTGACGAATAATGATATTGAGCCCATATTGCCCATTTAGATATCTTCTTTGTTGAAGTGCCTGTTGAAGGCCTTTGTCTATTTTTTTAAATATTAGTTGTCTTTTTTCTCACTGCTTTGTAGGAATTCTTAATTTATTGTGAATATCAGTCCTTTTCAAATATATGTATTGCAAATATATTCTCCTAGTCTGTGGCTTGCCTGTTCACTCTCTTGATGATGTGTTTTGATAAACTCAAAACCCACACCAAACCCACTGCCGTCGAGTCGATTCCAGCTTATAATTACCCTATAGGACAGAGTAGAACTGCCCCATAGAGTTTCCAAGGAGCGCCCAGTGGATTCGAACTGCCAACCTTTTGGTTAGCAGCCATAGCTCTTAACCACTATGCCACCAGGGTTTCCTTTGCTAAACAAGAGTTCTTAATTTAAGTAAAGACCAATTTACCAGTGTTTTCTTATGTGGATAGTCCTTTTTGTGTCCTGTTTAGGAAGTCTTTTCCTACCCTAAGGTCCTGTAGGTAATCTCTTTTTTAAAAAAAAAATAGTATTTTATTGTGGTTTTGGTGAAGGTTTACACAGCAGTTTAGGTTCCCATTCAACAATTTCTACACAAGTTGTTTAGTGACATTGGTTACATTCTTCATAATACATTCTCATTATTTCTGTTCTGGTTGTTCCATTTTCATTAATCTAGTTTCCCTGGCCCCTTACATTCTCATCTTTGTTTTAAAGTAATTGGTGACCACTTAGTCTCATATAAAACCAAAGTAAACCAAACCCATTGCCGTCGAGTTGATTCTGACTCATAGCGACCCTATAGGGCAGAGTAGAACTGCCCCATAGGGTTTCCAAGGAGCTGCTGGTGGGTTTGAACTGCCAGCCTTTTGGTTAGCAGCCAAACGCTTAACCACTGCGCCACCAGGACTCCTGGTCTCATATAGGTGATTTTTTTTTTTTTTTTTTTTTAAGGAACACAATACTTAGAGGTAATAGTCATTATTTTTTTGAGCCAATTTGTTACAGCTGCCAGGTGACCTCAAGGATTAGTTTTGGTTAAAGATTTGAAGACTATCTCAAAGGTTGGTGAGTAGCCTCTGGGGTCTTAAAAGCTTGTGAGTGGTCATCTCAGATACATCTATTGGTCCCATCCCATCTGGAGCAAAGGAAAATGAAGAAAATCAAAGACACAAGGAAAATATTAGCCCAGAGGACTAAAGGACCAGATAAACCCGAGCCTCCACCAGCCTGAACACAGAAGAACTAGACAGTGCCTGGCTACCACCAGTGACCACTCTGATGGGGATCACAACAAAGAGTCTTGGCAGAGCGGGAGAGAAATGTAGAACAAAATTCAGATTCACGAAGAAAGACCAGACTGGTCTAACAGAGACTGGAGGAACACCCGAGACTATGGTCCCCAGACACTCCACTAACTCAGAACTGAAACCACTCCCTAAGCCTACTTCTCAGACAAAGTTTAGACAGGCCTATAAAACAAACAGTAACAAACGTGAGGAACATTCTTCTTAGCTCAGTCAAATATATGAGACCAAATGGGCAACTCCTGCCCCAAAGCAAGATGAGAAGGCAGGAAGGGACAGGAAAACTAGATGAATGGACACGGGGAACCCAGGGTGGGAAGGAGGAGAGTGCTGTCACATTGTGGGAATTGCAACCAATGTCACAAAACAATATGTGTGTAAATTTTTGAATGAGAAGCTAACTTTAGCTGTAAACTTTCACCTAAAGCACAATAAAATTTTTTTAAAAAGGATCTCATGGTTGTAGTCACAGGGAGTCCTCTACTCTCAACCAGCCCAGTAACTCTGTTTTTTTTTTTTTTTTTTTTTTTTGTATGTTTTTTTAAAGGAATTTGAGTTTCTGTTCCATATTTTCATCCCAGTTTATCAGGGTCCATCTGTTGTGGCCCTGATTAGAATAGTAGGTAGTAGTAGTCAGGCACCATCTTGTTCTTCTGCTCTCAGGGTAGATGAGGCCTGGTTCATATATGTTTGTGCTGTAGACTAAGTTTCTTCTTTGAGTCTTTGGTTTCCTTCTTTTTCTTTTGCTCCAGATGAATAGAAACCAATAGTTCTATCTTAGATGGCCACTCGCAAGTTTCTAAGACCCCAGACACTACTCACCAGCTGTAGGTAATCTCTTATGTTTTCTTCTAGAAGCTTTATTGTTTTACCTATTGCAGTTATGTTTGTGATTGACCTCAAATTAATTATATAAGGATATCCAATTGTTCCAACACCACTGTTAAAAAGATATGTCTTTTCTCACAGAGAGACAGTGATGTGTTTGTTGTAAATCGAGTGACTATATGTCTACAGGTCTATTTCTGGACTATTTTTTCTACTTCTTTAGTCTCTGTCTACTTTTTTGCCAATATTGTGCTGGCTTTATTGTAGCTTTATAATATGTCTTTATATTTGGTAGTGTAAATCTTTCAACTTTGTAGTTATTTTTCAAGATTGTTTTGGATATTCTAGGTCACTTCATATATAGTTGAGAGTCAGCTTGTCAGTTTCCACACAAAATCATACAAAAAGTCCTACTGGGATTGTGTGTGTGTGTGTGTGTGTGTGTGTGTGTGTGTGTGTGTGTGATTTTATTTATTTATTTTTTATTGTACTTCAGGTGAAGGTTTACAGAACAAATAGTTTCTCATTAGACAGTAGTACACATAGTGTTTTATGACATTGGTTAACAACCCCACGACATGCCAACCCTCTCCCTTCTCGACCTTTTTTTTTTTTGGTGTATTTACTTATTTTTTTAATTGAACTTTAGAGGAAGGTTTACAGAACAAAACTAGTTTCTCATTAAATAGTTAGTACACATATTGTTTTATGACATTGGTTAACAACCCCAGAACATGTCAACACTCTCCCTTCTCGACCTTGGGTTCCCTATTATCAGCTTTCCTGTCCCCTCCTGCCTTCTAGTCCTTGCCCCTGGGCTGGTGTGCCCCTTTAGTCTTATTTTGTTTTACGGGCTTGTCTAATCTTTGGCTGAAGGGTGAACCTCAGGAGTGACTTCATTACTGAGCTAAAATGGTTTCCAGGGGCCATACTTACTGGGATTTTTTGTCTGAGTTCTTTCAGCATGATTGTTTTGAGATTCATGCATATTGCTGTGTCTATCAATATCTCATTCATTTTTATTGCTTAGTAGTTTTCCATTGTATGGCTATACCACAGTTTATCCATTCACCTGTTGATGGACAGTCCAGAAGTGGATATGAGGAAGCATTTGCAGTTGTAGGATTTATTCACAGTTTTGATTGTGGTGATGGTTTCATGCCAAAACTTTCAAATTGTATCCTTTAAATTATTGTTTGTCAATTGTACATCAGAAAAGTTGTTAAAAAAGTTAAGTTGCCTTCTGATCAGTGCTTGACAAGGAGAAGAAATTAAAATGTTTCTGTTTCTGTGTTGTTCTAACTTAATTCCAGCTTTAAAACTTACTTGTTTAATAACCATATTAAGAACTAAAAAAAAACAATAATAGTTTATGTTACTCTGGGTTGTTAAGGATTAAATCACATATTAGAAGGCACTTGGCATGTAAGTGCTCAACAAAGGTTGATTTTTTTTTTGTATCCTCTCTCTTCCCACATTTTAATTAATAGTATTTCTTGTTTTTAGTTAGCTCCTTGCATATTTGTTGTTGTGGTTTAACTGGGCTAATAAAGAGTCTGAGAAAGTTTTTCTGAAAACTTAAACTTTTTTTCTTGAGATAAAAATAATACTTTTTAATCAAATGCTTTATTTTTCTTCAAAAGGATATGTTCCCTCATTTATTTCAGATGCTTAAATTTCCACATTCAAATTTATACCCCAAATCTGGAATAATTTAAATTTATTTTCTTTTCAACTTTCATTGTATATGTTTAGAAATTAATTTTTATACCTTAACCATTAGGTAGTTCTGGGCAAATTTTTTATCCATTTTGCTACCTTACTTTAAAATTAAGCTTATTTGAATTAAACCATTATATATGTGCTTATCCAAAATGGTTAGAATTCAAAAGGATGCCAGTTGAAACCAATATAATTTCAAACTTTGACATTAGTGTAAAATATGCCATTAATTAGTTGCCTACTTATCAAAAAAGTAATAAGACTATATAGGTTCTTGCTTCCTAAGAATTCAAACATATTCCTGTATTCCTTTCATGTAGACTTAGGTTACCTTACCTAAATTTTATGGCTAGATAAAGCTTAAAGACTTAGCCCACCATTCTAGAGCCAGGGCTAGAAGACAAATCTGTGGAGAATCTGTTACAGAAATCCTTAGCCAGTGGATTAGGACTATACTAGTAGTTCTCAAGTCAGCATTAGACAGATGTTCTGGATTCTCTATTCAGTTTGCCATCGGATGGTTTTTTCACTTCATGATGATGGAGAAGGCACTTTATCTTTCTGTACCTCAGTTTCATCACTTGCAAAATGCCCAGACCACCTCTCAGTGGTCATATGAGACAATGTATATGAGAAACCTTTGGGCATGTTCAGAAGTGGTATATATGTATAGTCTTCATGCTGCTTGCTGCTTGTTCTCCTCCTTGCTGTCATGACTTAACTTATAGCTGGCCAAGAGTCTTAAGTGGGAGGAGTATTCAGTATACTGTCATCATCTCCTTTCTTCCCTTCCATCCTGTGACTTCAGGTCTATAAGACAATGAATAGTAGCTCTTCCTTAATAGAAAGAATGGTGGCCTTTGCTCTTGAGTGTACTGCTTCATCAGAGATTGATATAATTTGTGAACTTGACTGAGATTTAGATGAGACCATGTTCACTTAGTCTTAGAGAAACCAGAATATGAATGAATGATCAACCTAAGTAATTTGTCTTTAATTGATAAAAGTTTATTGAGGATGTGCCAGGATTTATTTTTTACAACCCTATGCTGTCGATAGTCTATATTATTATGCGCAGTTTACATTTGAGGAATGAGTCACAGAGAGGTTGAGGGATTGATTGCCCAAGTCACAGAGCTGGGATTCAAACACAGGCATGATTGTCTTTGGAGCCCAAGCTCTTAACCAGTATGTTATACTGCCTTACTGATTATTATTCAATTCTGAGTGTCAGCAAAGGCCCAGTCTAAATTTTTTGGTGTGAGTCTTTTGCTTGGTGTTTGTTGAGTAATTAAAAGTGATACATGTTCATTGTAGAGAAAAAGAAAACAAAAACTCCTAATTTCATAACCCAGAGATAGTCACAGTTAGAGCAGTTCTGTCACATTTTTTTCTACATAAAACCATTTCACTGTTGTTGAAATTTGGATTCTTTCTAGTTGACATGCTGTTGTAACTAATGCTGCAGTGATATTTTTAGAAGTGGAATTATAAGGTCAGAGGGCATCATCATTAATGCTTGACATATATTGATTGCCGGATTGTTGTCCAGTAAGGCTTAATGCACTTACTTTATGTTCATTCCCTCCTGCAGTTTTTGAAAGTGCCTCATTTTAGTTTTGTTTGTCTCAAATATGAGGATGATACAAGAGAAAAGTTCTTCCCTTTTGTTTGTTGCTGTATGTTTTGAATGCCATAGCTTTACTATGCTTCTACTTATTTCTGGCAGGCTATTTGTGAAAAATTGGTTAACTTTATGGCAGTGCTTCTCAGCTTGGGAGTGAGTTTGCCCTACAGGGGATATTTGACAATGCCTGGAAACATTTTTGGTTGTCACAAGGTGGGAGTGGTACTATAGGCATCTAGCAGGTAGAGACCAGGGTAACTGCTAAACATCCTGCATGGCACAGGACATCCCCCACAGTAAAGAATCATCCAGCCTATGTTAGTAGTACTAAGGTTAAGAAACCTTGCTTTAACCCCCAAAACTATTACCCTGAGATAGATAATCTTCAAACTTTAAACCAAAAATATCCCCTAAAGTCTTAAAACCAAACAGTAGGAGCATTGTCCTCTTTTAAGAACTGTCTGTATGGGATCAAATTGACAGCAGTAACTCTGAAAGATTAGGAACCTTGGGGGACAGTGAGTTTATGTTAATGAGGGAGGAACATTTCAGCAAAGGAGGATGAGAATGGATGCACAACTTGAAGGATGTAATCCATGTCATTGAATTGTACATGTAGAAATTGTTGAGTTGGTGTATGTTCTGCTGTGTATAGTCACAGCAACAACAAGAAAAAAAAGAAACTCTGCTTTAGAGTAAGCCCCTGAAATCTAGAAGGAATCTGTTCACAAGGTGCTCTAGACACTTACCTACTTCTCCCGCTAGTTCTTAACCTTATTCTTATCGGAGGATAGAAATGCTCTTGTTTTTCTGGCTTTGACAACAAGAGGGTAAGCTTTGTTTGGCTGGTCTCTGGGGTTTTTAGTTTTTCATATTTCATATCTAAAATCTAATGAAATCAGTTCTCAGAGAACTTTCCTAAGCCCCTGTCATGGATTGAATTATGTCCCCCCAAAACTGTGTATATCAGTTTGGCTGCACCGTGATTTCCTGGTATTGTGTGATTTTCCTACATGTTGTCATTCCTGCCTCTTACGATGTTAACGAGGGTGGATGGGCGGCAGTTGTGTTAGTAAGGCAGGACTCAGTCTACAAGATTGGATTGTGTCCTGAGGCAATCTCTTGAGATATAAAAGAGAGAAGTGAGCAGAGAGACAGGGGGACCTCATATCATCAAGAAAGCAGTGCCAGTAGCAGAGCATGTCCTTTGGACCCGGGGTCCCTGTGTGGAGGAGAACCTCCTAGTCTGGGGGAATATTGATGAGAAGGCCAACAGAGAAAGCCTCCCCTGGAGCTGACACCCTGAATTTGAACTTTTAGCCTACTTTACTGTGAGGAAATAAACTTCTCTTTTGTTAAAGCCATCCAGTTGCAGTATTTGTGGTATAGCAGCACTAGATGACTAAGACAGCCCCTTTGAGCAGCTCTGAAATCACCTCTTAATGATTCTGCAGGTGTGTATTCCTTTAGGTTTGTCTTACCTGCTTTCTTATTTGGAGTTCCCGCTAAAATATGTAACATCTCTGAGCCTAAAAACAGAAAACCAATAACTTCTTAGGGAAGTAAATCATTAGAACATCTTAGGAACCTAAACTCATATCCTCTGACGTAAAACTCATTGATTTGGAGGGTTTTAGTTGGGGTTCAATTCACTTGTATTTATTTGTGTGTATATATATATTTTTAATTTTCTTGTTATAAAAATCTAGCTGCAACTAGATAACATACATAATAATATCATTAAGACTTCATTTCTTTATTATTAGCAGGCAAGAAAATGTTGTTCAGTTGACCCAAATCCCTGTCTTTTAGCTGTCAGTCCTCATAGAGGAAAACAGTAATCATATCTGAGTGGATGAAAGTCATATTTATTCTTTCTTCTTAATTTGTTACTTTTTAATGTAGGTTCTGAAAAACATCCATTTCTCAGAATTCTTTTAAAAACACATCTTGTGACTTCTGGAGCTCAAGTAATTGTTGTCTCCATCTATTTTTATAGTTCTGCTTTGTCTGAAAAAAGGCTGTTCGTGAGCTTTGTCCTTCTGTTCTTCACAGGAACCAGCACCTATGACAGAAGACCTGCTAGAAGAGCAGTCTGAGGTTTTAGCTAAATTAGGCACGTCGGCAGAAGGGGCTCACCTCCGCGCTCGCATGCAGAGTGCCTGTTTGCTCTCAGATATGGAGTCTTTCAAGGTGGGTCACACTTTCAGAGCTCCGTGCTCTATTTTGAGCTGTTCTGGGATGGAACTGTGAAAGTCACTCTACAAAGTGATATGAAGGCCTGAATGTCTTTTTTTGTCAAGTGTTTTGATTTCATTAGTAGTTACAATACCCTGCTGTCACCCCCCAAAGGGCATAGTCAAACTTGTTTCTTAAGTTTAAAAAAAGAAAAAAATCAATCTTTGAATAGTAGTTGAAAGTTGAAAATTGAATCATTTCTATATGTGTGTTGAGGTGTTGTCTTTGTGTATTCAGCCAATTTAATGCAAGACTTTTAGGAAACTCCTAGGATTTAATGTAGGTGGCTTTGTACGACAAACCTTTGAGTGCCTACTGTATGCCTTGCACTGTGATTAGATGAGTAAGAAGTACAGTGTTTATCCTCGATTACAGTCTGAGAGGTTGTGGGGAGGAGATCATGAAAGGTTTCTCAGCAGAGTCATCATTTAGAATGAGTAGGCATGTGCTACCTGAAGAATATTCTAGGCTTAAATATAGGCCTGTATCTAAAAATACCGAGGATTCAAGGAATGGTGATGTTTGGCTTCGTTCCAGAAATGAAGGAAGAAGAAGGGACTTTTATGTTTGAATTATTTATTCTTGAAAGCAGAGTCAAACCTTGTTTATATTTTTAAAAAAGTGGGTAGCCCAGTGGACCACAGGACTTCCCTTTGCTTCCTGGCCCAGACTATCCCTCTCATCCTGCTGCTGCTGTGACGCCCTTCATCTCCCTGGTCCATAGCCCTCCTCGGGCCTGCTTCTGTGGTCTTTGGCCAGCCTGAGTTTGATTTTCCTCTGAAATACTTGTTTGTTTGTTGTTGTTGTTTTTTAAACATAAGCATCGCTTTTATCCTTCCCTTCTAGTAGATTTAAGTGACAGTAAAAGGGAGGCTTTTTATTCCCTGCCTATTTCCTTCATCTTTATTAAAAGGAAAAATGTTTAGAAAACCTCTTAAGGGCTGCATGTTTTCTGTAGAGACTCAAAAGATACAGAAAATCTGAATTCTCTTCTGTAGTGAGGCAAGAAAGAGATGTGTTATTTTAAAAAACCTAGTGGCACTGAATAAAGAGAAGCCTCTTGGCTCTTAGGGCATGTTTTCTCTACTAAAAAGATAGAGAAGGGAATTGGCTTAGAATGTGTGTGCACAACAGGAAGTACTAGGCCTCCACAGCAGCTGTTCTTCACCTGACCTCTGGCTGCTTTCCTAGTCATCAGTTCTCTCCTGCCATACCTCCACTGAAAAACTTGAAGATTGGAGGCTGGAATAATCTGAAGGCATGTTCTGATGCCTGTGTGTGGGTGACTGAAGGACCAGGACTGCCAGCTGAGCACCTACACGTGTCCTCTTTGCATGGCTTGGCATCTTCACAACATGGCAGCCCCAGGGTCACTGAAGTTCTTAAGTAGAGTCTAGCGAACAAGGCTGCATTGCCTTCTATGACCTATCCTCAGAAGTCACATTTCATCCTATCTACTGTAGTCTATTGGTCATAGCAATCATGAGCCCGCCCAGAATCTTGTCTCACTACAGAAGAGAATTCACGGATTTTCTTTGTCTTTTGAGTCTTCAGGAAAAACATGCAGCCGTTAGGAGGTTTTCTAAACATTTTTCCTTTACTAAAGATGAAATAAGCAGGGAATAAAAAGCCTCCCTTTTATTGTCACTTAAATCTTGCCAGAGCAACAAGGTCATGGTGTAGAAGAACATATAGGATGAGCAACATTGTTGTGACCATCTTTGGAAAATACAGTTTGCCCCAAAGAGTATACTTACCTTGAACAAACCAAACGAGGCTGATGTGTATAACCCTATTTTTTAAATTTGCCATGAGAAATATAACTGCCAAGGAGAATATCTGTGCCTATGGTCAGTGTATTCTTTCCCTTGAGGGAAGTTTCCAGAAGCTGCCAGTGTTTTAGAGTGTGGGCACTCAAGGAATTGAGTGACAGTGGCCAACAAGAAAATAGATTGTATTTCAAATAGCCAACTTACCCACCTGCCCCTTATGGGCATCACATTATGTATTTAAGGAAATAATGTGGTCACTCTAAAATAGATATGATTGCTGTTTCCTTTTTGTATAGGAATGACTTGGTATTAGGGGTTTTAGGAGAGTTCCTCATCCCCTCACGAGGATTTCTAAGCTGGTTGGGATAGTTAAGCTGGTAGCCAGTGAGCCCAATGAGAAGAAATGGGCTATTTTGCCCAGTTTTGTTATTGCTTCTATCACTTACTGTTACAGGCAATTAAATATAATACTCATAAGCAAGAAGAATATGCTGTGATTGTGTGATAGAGAATGTAACCAAAAGTGTATGTATTTAATGTAGGTACGCATATCATTCTTTGTACTGAAGGGGACCGTTGTGTATGTGTGCCCTTTAATTAATTAATATTAGTCCTTTAATTAATATATTATTGGTAGTTGTCATCAAATCAAGTCAATTAATATATCACTGGACAGTTTTACAAAAAAGACCTCCATACCTTACCGCTAACTCTGTGAAGCTGCTGCTTTTTTCCAGGCTTGAGATTATAAAGTTTTTGGAACAGATCATTGTTAATTATATAAAATTAACCACTGAATAAAACTTTTATCTAATTGGTAATTGGTTTTCAGAATTCTGGAAAACAATCATTTGAACTCTAATTCCTTAACAGCACAAAAAACAGTTTATATGGTGGTAATTTATTATATAAAGCACAAGAATTGGATGGCTAACCTTGAAACAAAATGGGACTAATGAGGCACAGCAGTCCAGGGACAAAGGACTAAAAGGCAGAAGGGGACAGGAAGGCTGGTGATAGCGAACCCAAGGATGAGTAAGGACAGTGCTGACATGTAGTGGGGTTGTTAACCATTGTCATAGGGCAACGTGTACTAACTGTTTAATGACAAACTATTTTGTTCTGTAAACCTTCATCTAAAGTGAGAATAGCAGTACAACTGGAAGAACATAATCGATGTCACTGAACTGTGCATGTAGAAATTT